TACAGAAAAGGTTTTGGCATCACATTGATCTGGCATATTTTAACCAAGGGAAACAACTCGTATGGTCCAGACAATAGCAATTAGGTTGAATAATAAACCACGACAATCAAATTGACTGGCATTAGACTCATCAAATCATAGATCCATGTATGGTCTATCAAATACCTTGATATTGTGCTTGCAAAACCCAAAAAATCCTCCTGTGTATGCTAAACATATAGCTCCACTTGCAAGCTGAAATTGTCTGTTAAATGTCGTAAGAAAATGAAAGCACGTTAACTAATCAAACTGAAGTCATTTGTACTTTCTCCTACTTGAAAAATGCAGGGGTGGTAGTTATGTTGAATTTCTAGTTCTTCGCAGTAGTCTCAAGCGGCAGAGATTTTTCACCTTCCGTGGGGATAGTAGTTCTTTCTGAAAACTTTCCCATAATCTGTTTGGAACCAAAAAAACTCGTCAGTCACAAAAGTATCCACATCCACTATGATAATTATTTTCTTCATTTTGTAGCTGAATAACTTCATAAATTAGACAAGTTATTTTGTCAACTACTTTTGCACCGAGTAACAGAAGCTGCTGGTCATGTGCTTACCTTCTGAAAAGTTGATTTCAAGCAAGCCTTGTGTTCTTCCATAGGAGAGTGGATTAACTCCTGAAGGTGGTGCCTCAAATTGGAGACAAAGATATCATTATCAGACTTATTCCTTTGACAATAAGTGAGAGTTGGAGTTGGTGCAGACTCAGTAAGGCTTTTTTCAGCATCCAATCTTTCTATAACCTTGCAGAGAGGCATCATTAAGTTTCTTCCCAACAAAAAAAAATTGAAAAATGCAGAAGAGTAACATACCACTGTATCGCAGCTTTATCCAGCCCCAAAAAAACAAACTACCATTGTCCATTTATATGGACTCATAACTCACAAAAAATTATGCTACTAAACCTTCTTTTCAAAAATTAGATATTCTTGGTTCGATGTGTAGGGTCATGATTACAACCATAGTGTCACGAGCGAAATAATTCATATGGTCCATGCCGTGGAAATGGTATTGTCTAATAAACCATGCAAATCAAATTCACTCATGAAATCATAGACCCTTCTACCTCATTATTGTACTTGCAAAAACAAATAAACCCATGTATGCTAACCAGAGAGCTCAACATACAAACTGCAATTGTCTGTCAAAATCATAAAGAAGAAGAAAGCCTGTTAACTAATCAAACTAAACTCATTTGTACTCTCACTTAATTGAAAAATGCATGAATTGGACTTTAACTAAATTTCTAGTTCTTCACAGTTGTATCAAGGGGCAGAGAATTTTCACCTTCTTTGGGGCCAGTAGTTCTTTCTGAGAACTTTCCCATTATCTGTTTGGAACAAAAACAAACTCATCAGTCACAAAAGTATCCACGTTCACCATAGTAATTATTTTCTTCATTTGTAGCTGAATAAATTTCTAAATTAAACAAGTAACTTGGTCAACTACTTCTGCTCTGACTAACAGAAGCTGTTGGTCGTATGCTTTACCTTTTGAAAATTTGCTTTTAAGCAAGCCTTGTGTTCTTCCATAGGAGAGTGGATGAACTCATGAAGGTGGTCCCTCAAATTGGAGGCAAAGCTACCATTATCAGACTTATTCCTTCGACAATAAGTGGCAGTTGGAGTTGGTGCAGATTCAGTAAGGTTTTTTTCGACATCCATTCTTGCTAAAACCTGGCCGATAAGCCTCATATTAAGTTTCTTCACAATAAAAAAAATATGCAAATGCAGAAGAGTAACATACCACTAGCTACATTACTATAGACTAGCTTTGTCCAGCCCCATAGAAACAAACTAGCTATGTCCATTTCCATGGACTACTAACTCAAAAAGATATGATACAAAAACTTCACTTTGAAATTTGGAAAGCATGGGTTCAATGGAGGGTCATAAGTAATGGTCATAGCGTCACTAGAGAGAGACAATTTAAAAAATTCAGTGCTCCTTTTCCCTTTTCCATCTCAGATATCAATTATATGCACCTTTCAAGGCTAAGACTAATGGCCACAGCACGTAAAAGCTGTGAATTGTGTTCTAAATGCAACATAATAATGTTCAATATTTAGATTTATAAAACAATAACTTAATGAGGTACAAACTAATCTGTCAGATTAAGATGTAATTCATGCATTCTGATGCAAAGGATTAAGGACTTCCATCCAAACACAGAGCAAGAATATGTAGAACGGCAATGCATATCGATGCAAAAAAATTCTCCAATTAGCTAGTTTCTTAGAAATCTAACAACCACACCCTCGTTTTCTCACGGCAACCCCACAGCCATAGTGTGGATCATCATTAGCAGTTCATTCCATCGATGCTAAATCACCACCATGCATCGATGCAAAATATTACAAGTCACAATTAATTAATTCCCGAAAAAGTCTAAAAGTCATTTACGGATGATCCTAAATATAATTGATTGACCGGTTACTTGAAGATTGAGAAATTTATTGTTAGCATCATATGAATTTATGTCGATAATACCACAAACATATTCAAAAAAAGTGACGTAAATTTTGTAATTTCACCAATAACAAATTACGAGTTGATACCAGTTCAAAAAGGCTCACTCATTCATATTATAACCTCCAATCCTTCTGAACTTATTCTCTTCTACAAATGAAATTCGAAAAAGGAACTTTACAAATCATGTGTACGAGTATTTGCAAAAACCTTTTGAATTCCCAACAGGAGGACCGAAATTTGCACACACAAATCCCCCACAGCTCCATGCAACGAAATTCAAGGGACAATTAAGTACAAAAACTAAAAAGAATTTAGCAGAACAATAATGATGAAAAGTCTAGCAAGCATAAAAAAGAATTACAAAGAAGACTATAATCTTTAAGGAGAATTGTAATGGTGAAAACCCTAGCAAGCTTACCTTGGAGTTAAACAGCGTAGAAGATGACAGCAATTGATACCGGCGGTCTCACTGGTTATATTTATATTGGGTTCTGATATAAAAATCGACTTGCTGGACAAGAAACAATAAATAATGAAGAAATATAAGTTTCATGGCTTGGGAAAAAAGTTAGGTTAGTCAGGTGATAACGATTACGTGATATCATTATTGCATTTAATATTTTCTCCGCTAGAGAGGAGCATCATGCAAAGCGACTAAGGGACAAAAATTATTTTAACTTGTTATTTCATTGAACATTTAAAAATATAATCCTGGATATTTGATCATTAATTTTGAGGGAGAATAATACTCAGATCTCTTGAAATTTGTCACTTAATCACTCAAACCCTTTAACATTTAAAATATTACACACAGACTCACTGAAATTTGTAGGCGCGTAACACTTAGACTCCTGTTGTAAATATATCCGTTAATAAATTACATTTAGACTCCCCTAAAGTTAGTGGATATATGATACTTGGATCCTTTAAGTTTAAAATATCATACTTAAATTAAAAATACTCCAATCAAATATAAAATATAAAATATTTTAAATTTTACAACCAAAATTCATGTTCTATTGTATCATTTATTAAAATAAAATTAAAAATAAAAATTTAATTTTTTCTTAAAAAAATCGTATTTAATATACAATTATACTATCTATTGGAATGAAACTAAAAATCAAACAATGTGTCTAAGTCATTCATAATAGTATATAAATTTTACATCCAAAATTCTTGTTCTATTATGTCATTTATTGAAATAAAATCAAAAATAAAAATTTATTTTTTTTAAAAAAAAAACATAGTATATATTAAACAAGAAATCAAACTGTAATGAATACAATATCTTTTAAATTTAATTAGGGTAGTTTGGTATTTTAATTTAGTCGTTTAAACGACTAAATTAAATTATAATATAAAATATAATTGTATATCAATTACAATTTTTTAAGAAAAATTTGAATTTGAATTTTTATTTTTGATTTTATTTCAATAAATGATACAATAAAACATGAATTTTGATTTAAAAATTTAAAATATTTTATATTTTATATTTTATATTTGATTGAAGTATTTTTGGTCTAAGTATAATATTTTAAACTTAAAGGGTCTAAGTATTATATAGCCACAAATTTTAGGGAAGTCTAAGTATAATTTATTAATGGATATATTTACAAAAGGGGTCTAAGTATTACGCGAGTACAAACTTCAGAAGGTCTGTGTGTAATATTTCAAATATAAGGGATATGAGTGATTAAATGACAAACCTCAAAGGATCTGAGTGTAATTCTCCCTAACTTTTAATAATTTATGACATTATCCGTCAAATTGGTACGAAACTAACATGATTTGAGTTTATCTTTAACATATTTGGGCCATAATTAAATTGATTTGTTAAACCCTTTAAATAAATAATTTAATGTCTAAATTAAAGAAATTTTAACACAATATAATTTATATGACTTAAACTCGTTGAATAAAAGGCTAGTAACACTTCGGGTTTTTAAATTATATATGTTTTGTCAGTTTAATTCTTAAAATATTAATTTGATCTATAAAATATTTAATTTGTATTTACATGATATTTATATAGACAGACCGTTAAATTTTGAATGAAACGATTATATGTTGGGCATGTGATTCCGTCTGAAAGAATGACACGCAATCATTTTTTGTCAAAAAACTTAGCGTATTGTATCATTTAGAATCAAAGTGGTACGAATTAAAATTTTAGGGACTAAATTAATAAAATTAATACAATAAAAAACAACCGATAAAATGAACATATTTTAACTTAAGGACTAAAGTGCTATTAACCCATAAATAATCTCATTTTGGTGCCATATATGTCCAAGCCCCAAAAAAACAATAGCAAAAGCAAAAAGAGGGAGAAAAGTGGAATTTGGGAAAAAATTGTGACCACAGCTTACCGCCAAATGGTCACTGCTCTGGGCCCTCAGGAGTTGAACGGATTACAAAAACGGACCGCGGACACTACTACAGTGCTGCTCAGTTCTCGCTCTACTTTCTCACCCAACCTAACCGCCTCAGAGAGAGAGAGAGAGAGAGAGAGAGAGAGAGAGAGAGAGAGAGATGAGTACGAAGAACTCATCATTTAAGGTTTGGCTCACACTAATCGTGTACATTTTGAATTTTATCTTGAGACATTCGTTCATTACTCGTGTTTACATTAAGTTCTGTATTGTTAGCTGAAACATTCGAACTATTTGCGTAATTTATATGTTTGTGTGGTTTTGGATGTTGTGTTGTGATGCTTCATGAAAGATAATCTTGGGTTCGTCATCGATGGCTCGTCGTCAAATTCTTGCCGAGATGGGATATGAGTTCACAATCTTGGTATGTTCTCATCGAAATATATAAATGTGAACGTTAAAAAGACATTTAACGCTTGTTGTGGAGACTTTAGAAAATTATTTAATCTTGATTGTGGTTTAGACTGCAGACATTGACGAGAAAAGTATTAGGAAGGAAAAGGCGGAGGAACTAGTAATGGCTCTAGCGGAGGCAAAGGTATGCTTTATGCCTTCTTTTAATCCATTATTAATTTGTTGTATGCTCTGAGTTATCCTTTGAATGGTTTTTTCATTAATTAACCCAGATGCTTATGAGACCCTTCCCTCACTATCAGTAATTTTAAGAGATTAGGCGAGGAACAGAGCACAAAGGAATGCTTACCAAGTTTTTTACTAAGTTTTCCATCCCAAGTGATGCAGCATAATCTCCATCATTGAATATTAATGGGATCCACTTGTTTCATAGGAAACTGGACCACATCACTTTGGATAGAAAATTTTGTAAGAAATCTTGGTCAGCATAGCAGTGTTGAAGGAAATATGTATTACACCATTGAAAATTCGTCTGACTCTGTACAATAGTTTCTTTATTACGAGAAAACTACCTAATTTATTCTTACTCATTTCAACTTTTTTTTTCCTTAGTATACTTTTTAATATATTCAAGCCTTCAAGTGAAGATGGTTGAAAAAATATCCACTTCTGCTCAAGTTATGGTTCATTTAGGTGGGATTAACAGTTTTCTTTACTAGGACATTATGTAAAACTGTAAAAGCATTGAAACTTTTTCTGTTGACCTTCCGTTATCGAACTTTTAGAGCCATTTTCCTTTCAGTACTTCTGCTTCATTCGTAAGGTGATCCTTCATTACCCAGAAAAGATACTATTATTTGCACTTGAAACCCCTCAAGGTCTATTAAAATCAATGTCAACAGTTGCTTACTTGAATTTATGCACATTCTGAGTTGGGGATGTATTGAGAGATCATGGGATCATATCTTCTTTGCACATTATAGGCTTTTTGGTATTGGGTTATTCATGAGCAGAATCTAGTAGTTTTTTTTTTTTTGTTCGGCTTAAAGGAGGTATCACAATTCTCTTGAACTTTTGTGGAAGTTGACATATGCTAAGTTTGTGATTAAGTGGATTAAGAATGGCAGGCCAGTTTTTTTTTTTAAATGCCCCAATTTTTTCAATATGATTTTACTTTTTTCAGGCCTTTACATATTTTGTTATTGGCCTTACCCTTCTTTCTGGTTCAACATTCTACCCATTTTACACATGCAGAAACAGATGACACTCCCACACACACAAACACCCATGTGTAAGTTCATGCAAAATATGAATAAATTATGGAACTTAAGACATTACAAGACTGGAGCCAGAAAAGTTATCAAGGTTATGATCTCAACTACTCCGCCTTTCTTCTGTGCTCATATTAACCAACACAATTACTTATGCCACTTTATTTGTGTAATGACTAATACGACAATCCAGTGCTTTGGCTTTCAGAAAAATTAACCATCTGTTAAAGTATCCAAAAGTGTGTAAATTTTCTTTTGTAAAGGTGCTGTAAGTTATGGTAATTTCTACTTGCTTTTCAAGCTTAGACACTCCACCGTTATTTTTCTGCCATTTATTGAACATATAGAACGAACAGAAATACGCGATATGCTAAACAGAACCCATGGAAAAAATCTATGCATTTGAAGTCGGCTCTCCTGCTACCGGTTCTACATGCTTATCCATGATTTATGTTTTGGTTAGTTGCACTCTTTGGGACTGTGCAAACTATTTCAATTTTTATGCCAATTTTTTTTTTTTTTGTATCTGGATTCCATCACTGAATAGCAACTGACAGTGACTTTGATTGTGGTTAATGGAACAATGTTTTAGGCCGATGCCATCATATCAAGGCTCAAAATTATGGATCATATGGAGGAGAATGCTGAATCCACACTTTTAATTACTGCAGACACAGTATGCTTTATTTATTCCTTTTGTTATTACCTATTCTGAACATAAGTTTATCTAGTTTTATAGAAAATCAGGACATGGAGAACTTATGTAGCATCGATATCTAATGTCTCTCATGCAGTAGGATTGTAAGAGCAAGTAAAGGGTGGAGTTCAGGGCATATGGCATGATTCATGATGAAATGTTAATTCTTTGAACTACAAAAGAGTTTTTCAATGATACATTGAGAAATACCAGTTGATAATTTGTCTCAAAACTCTTTGGGAAAAATTTGTATTGATGCACTAGGATAATATCGATTTTTTTGTTCACTGATGTTGGATATACTGGTTGATGGTAAAAAGATTAAGGAAAACTCGTACACGTCAGTGAGTTTAGTCATTTCAACTGAACTAGAGCATTGCCTTCCCTATCAAGAGGAAAAGAAACAAGGTGAAAGAAGCACCGTTGTAGATAAGATGACTTTATTCAGAATCCCAAAGCCACCAGCAACACTTGAATGAATTCAGTAAGAATAAGCATTAGAAATAGATTCATGTTACTCTGAATTAGTAAACAACTTACAGGTCTTCTTTTTCGAAGGGTAACTTACAGTTCTTATTTTGCAGCCCCCACTTATTTGGGAAGTCAGTTAAGGAACTTGTTTCTTACTTCAACTTCCCTCAAAAGTTTAGTCTCTTTTGAGAAAAAACTGTCACACATTGGTTGAGGAGAACTGGAGAAGTCATTTAAATGGTTTTTGAATGTAATCATTGTATGTGTATTTATTTACTTGGCACAAAAAGTAAGACGCGTGTAGACTAGTGTGGCTAAGTTCAATGCATACTCACATATTGCACATGCGTAGAGCGCTTTAGGCACACTTTGCACATACGCATGGACGAGCCACGAGCGCAGGTGCTGGTTTGACTGGTGCCCATTCAAATCTTTATAATTTTTTAATATGTGTCTATTCAGAATAAATATAAAAGACGTTCTATTGTGTTTTACAATGCAATTGTGCACTTAGCCTTATCCAGGGATTCATGGTTTCTGCCCAGTAGATGTCGTTGTTCATGTGTGTTTGATCAATCAGATGATGCTACACGCAAACGGAAAACCCTCCATGGAAATGATAGATTGTGATGGAAAATCTCCAGAAAAGGAAATAAACTTGGAGTTTATGGCTACCATCACTTCATTAATTGCTTTCCCTTCAAAACTTTTTGGTTGCATCTGTGGGGTTGTCTTTCAACATGAGATGAAAGCTTCAGGGCAAATGATTTCAAGCAAACATGGTACAAGTATCCCTCTTAGCAGTGAATTCATAGACACCTCATATCAACTTGCTGGGTGTTTGTCTGTCAGCGGCCTTACTCCTCATATATCATTGTCTCCTGGTTTAACTGTGTCCTAATATCACAATTAGAGTTGAAGCAAACACCACAGAGATAGTAACTGTTAGGTTTTTTTCTTGTTTGGTAAATAGATTGTGTCAGGTTATATCTTAACTACATCTAAATGGTTTTGAGGTAGTGGATTATGATGGGACAATCAGAGAAAAACCATCCAGCAAGGAAGAAGCACGCCAGTTTATCAAAGGTTGTCTTAATAAGCTTTCCTGTTAACTCATTCCATTGCATGAATTGCTGGTTTAGGGATTGTATTTGTATTGTAGGCTATTCTGGTGGTCATGTCTCAGTTGTGGGATCTGTAATAGTGAGCAACCTTACAACGGGTGGCAGAAAAGGAGGATGGGACAAGGCAGAGGTATTATATTTCACATTGCTGTCTTATCTGCACTCATCTGAGTAATAATGAAAAAATTTGAGCCCATGTGAGGTTGAGGGTGTATCAAAACATTATTGGATTAGAATTAAGATGTTAAAAGTCTTTTCCCTCCTTTGGTCTTAGTTGAAGGTCATTTAATTTTGACTCCATTCAACTCATTGGGCATGGGATTGCTGATCCAATTCCTTTGAATTTCTTGCAATGCATGTATGGTTAGAACTATAAGAGTATGTTGCATCTATCTATAGGGTAGTTGCTATAAGTGATGGACAACTTCATTGGTCTGATGAACTAGATCACAATGTGATTAATCCCATTTTTGCACTTTTCTCAGTTTCTTCTGGCAAAAGGACAAAGGGACATGGATCATTATTTCGCTAGAAGAAATACATATAGTGCATTTGATTTTTCTGAGGGCATAGCTTTTGTTAATTTGCCATGGCCGTGTAACACTCTGTCTTCATATTTGCCAAGATCCAACAATACTAATTTGACATCTTAGTTGCACTCTTATGCCCGCCCCCCCCACCCCAAAAGGAAAAAATGAAAAAAAAAGGTAATAAATAAAACCTGCTACTCCAATGTTTACCCATGTGTGATATTCAGGGACCATTGTTTCCTGTTAGATTTTTTAGACATAATGGTTATATATTTGAATTGAGAGGGTAAATTACAGGTTTTCCTGTGGTGCAGGTCTATTTCCACGATATTCCAGATGAGGTCATTGATAGCCTGGTAATAGATGCAAGAACATCACCATAATCTCTAATAATTCTTTATGTGCCTCTTTGCTCATGGTGATTTGTCCTCAGGTTGAGGAGGAAATTATGCTCAATGTCGCTGGGGGTTTGATGCTTGAACATCCGCTGACATTGCCCTTCATTGACACTGTGGTTAGCTCTCTCTCTCTATAGAGGGACAGGTTTGAGGTATCACATATATGATGCATGGATGAGCTATTCTGTCAAAAGGGTTATCCTTGAGCTCTTGAGTTGTGCCGCCCAGATCATGGGATATAATATATGCTCTTTTCATGCTCCCGCAGAAGTTATCAAGATCCTTACTAGTACTAATCTTGGTCTTCCCATCAATGCCGTGGCCGAAAAAAATTAGCCACGGCATTTGGCCTATTACTTACAATATGCAGTATATATTGATATTATCCATCACGAGTCACTCTATTCGTTCTAATATAAGCAGACCTTGCCATTCTTCTGCAGGTAGGAACTGCTGATAGTGTTATGGGACTTCCTAAAGCTCTCACGGAGAATCTGATTCAGGAAGCCCTCTTGCTGCTTTAGTTGCACTAGTACTATATTGGCGCCACATACATATACAGCAGTTTAGTCTATAAGCTCCTGAATACTTTTGCATTTGGGGTTTGCGGTCTTGGCTCAATTTTTACCTCTCTGCCACTAATCAAATATACCTGCTTTACTTCAATTTGCTACGCATTCCTACTCACTTTATTTTTTATATATGTGATAGATATGAACCAATACAATATGATTAGTGTGCGTGCTAGATCTTGCACAATATAAACACGAGAACAGATCTCTCCCTTGGTGAACTCGAGTGAGTCAGTCGAGTGGTCAACCCCGCAGCTTGGAACAGCCTGTGAGGTCCGGTGGTAACCTGGAACGGTAATGGGAGACCCTCGTGGATCAATGGAACGATCCAGTAAGGCTGAAGAAGGTTCCTGGAACAAAGAAGAACAAGTTAGAAGGGAGCCAGAGTGTTTTCTGGCGTATCCCCTCCGACGATCAAGTCAGTCTTTTGAGAGAGAGGAAGAAGAAAACACTGAATATGTATTGTAGCAAAGGTTTTTTGTTTTTTTCCGTCTTGCCTTTTGCGAGGAGTATTTATACCTCAAAAACTCATGATTAGTGTCAGTGTAGTCAATAGGTGATCATTAGGTACAGGCAGTGTACGTACTGATTCTGATGAGGAATGTCTTCTCTTTTAACTGCTCGGGATCCCGAGCAATCAATGCTGTGTCATCGGGCTGCCGACTGTTCAATGAGCTCCTCTCGGGGAGGATGCAATAAATTTCCAGCCTTAGAGACATTTATTGCCTTTCACTTCCAAGCCTTACCGCATTGAATGCAGTCTCATCAAGGGAATGGTGTAATTAAATGCTTGATTTCCCAAGTCGTGTGTCAGCAAGGGCATGCGGTCTTTCTGTCTCTGATGTGACACAATATGCCACGCGTCCATTCCCCATTGGCTGTGGCCCCTGCCTTCCTGTGCCTTCTGACACCAATTGTGTAAGACGAGGTCATGATAGCTAACCTAGCCTAGCCTAGGCTAGTGACCTGTACATCAATAGCCTCTGTAGGAGCAGAGAACGCTATCCTGGACGGAGATACATCTCGGAGCTGAGGGGGAAGTTCATCTCGGAGCCGAGGGGAGGTGTATATAGCGACCGATGTACCCATATCAGACCGAGGGATACGTGTCGGTTCGTAAACGTACTGGATGCCACTTGATCCCTATGACAAAGTACCTCGGGGGAGAGGGACTTTGTGAGCCGATGGTACGTGATCTCAGTAACAGGATTTAGCGACACCGAGGACATTTGTCTTTATCTTGGAGTATTTCGGAAATGTCCCATCAACTGCCCTCCAGCCTTCGATCTTTTGACGCCGAGGACACGCGTCGTAAGGAGACGAAGGGTTTTACAACAACCCCAACTGCTTCATCATTGCGTTTAGCTGTTTTTCCCTATTTAGGACGTCGTGCGCATTAAATGCGCCTTTTCGTGCTTCGCGCCCAATGATGAGATTGATACTATATAAATGGGCTTTCTCTCCCATTTTCTCATTTCGTCATTCCGAACTTTCTCGAGAGAGCCCTTGCCTGAATCTTCGCTGGAGATCTCTTTCCTTCCATTGTCAACTGCCCAACCTTTTCCCTAAAGTCTTAAGGCCAGCAGACCCATCATTGCTTCTGAACATTCTGGAAGGAGTCGCCTCAAGTTTTCCAGAAAAAACTCCGTTTTACATTCTGGTGAGTCCCAGTATCTTTCCTCTCTTCGTCCTTCTGTCCCTTTTGGTTTTCCGATAACTGGAGGTGTCTGCGGTTGCCACTTAGCGACCAATCCTCGAGAAGCTTCCTTGGGGATCTTTGAGGTAAAAAACACCCTCCTTCACTTTTTCTCACTTTCTTCGAGATGCCTCGTCGTCGCCCTGCCCCCGAGAATCCTCAGGCCAGTTCTTCGGGGTCAGGGAAGTATAAAGTAAAGGGTGGTGAGCAAATTAATAGGTTTAGGGTCAAGTACAACATCCCCGTACGTAGACATAGAGGATTATAACCCAGCTGTGCACTCTCGTACCTTCGGGGCCGAGGATGCAATGCCCTTTTATACCAAAGCCATCATAGAGGGCGGAATTAGGTTCCCTTTTCCCCATCTACTTCTCCAGTTCCTTTCCCATTTCCACCTCTTCCCCGGGCAATGTTGCCTTAATGTCTTCAGAATAATTATGGGGGTCCTAGAGCTTAATAGGCGTCTCGGGGTAAATGTTGGGCTGAACGATCTCCTTTTTTGCTATTCCCTCTTGAGAGTCATGCCTCAACAACACTTCTAACTCAAAGCCAGGGATCCATCTATGTACCTTGTAACTCATCTTCCCGACTCGGACAAGGGGTACAAGGACGACCTACTTATCTTCAAGGGATCTTGGCAGAAAGGTGTCGGTCCTGAGTATAACGGCTTGTTATGCCCTTTGGAATGGAGAACGACAAGTACATCGGTTCCTTCGGGTCTATTATTTTGTTCTTGAGATTTTCTATGTTCATGACTGCCCTTCTTTTTTGTTTGTGCAGATGTCCCTGCTCGGGAAACAGCTCCTCCCCCTCGGTTGTTGGTGAACTTTGCCAACCTAGTCACAGTTTAGAGATTTACTGGTGACGACAGGTTCGGCCGGGCTGCCCACATCCTCCAGAATTACACTCCTGGATATAAAAAGTTTTCACAACTTCCCCAGCCTTTCGAGCCTTCGCGGTGGTCTGAACTTTTCGATCAGGCAGTGAGGCAAGAGGTCGAGGAGAACTTGGAAGAAGACCCTGACCGGGCTTCGGAGGCAGAAGTAGAGGGTGAAGTTGAAGAGCTCGGGGTCAAAGAGGACTTGGTTCCTTCGCACGCCGAGGTGGGGACTTCGGGGAGAGATTCGTCGCCGGACTTCCAAATCCTACAATCTCTAGACGCCGAGGACGCCCTCGAGGTAGCTATGTCCAGCACGCCCCGTATTGATCTAGGATTCCTGAGGCAGAGGAAAGCCCTCGCTGCCGGGAGGGGACGAGGATCGGCCGGTGGGGCCCCATCTGCAGGGACCAGTGCCACCCCATCCTCAAGAGTCGTCAGTCGGGGGCAAGTGCGTGACCGGGATCCTCAGGTAGAGGAGGAGAGAAGGGTCAAACATAGGCACGATGGCCTTGGCAGGGGATCCAGGGCACCCTCCGCTCTGCAGCAAAGTGGGAGAGGCCGTGGGTTACCTCCTGCTCCTCAGCAACAGTAGCAACAACAGCAACAACAGCAAGAGGGGCAACAGCAGACTCCTCCCCTTTCGCCGACAGTGGAAGCCGCGGAGTGGAATCCTCGAGCCACTGATCACATGAACCGAGTGATCAGGGTCGATGACTCCATTTTGCAGGACCCCCACGTCGCCAATGCAGTGAGTAAGGTGCTACATTTCGAGGCCGACATGGTGGCTCAGGGGGCGATCAACGAACGTGTTGTTTCGCTCTATTATCCAGAATTTCCTGGCGGTAAATTCATCTTTGCTTCAACCTTTTTTTAGCCGCTTTTCTTTTTAGTGACATGCCCTTTCCTTTGCAGGCCACCCAACAGATTTCTATAATAGCGGCACGATATCATGGGGTTAGAATGGACCTTCAGCGGATTCGAGAGCAAAAGGAAGAAGCCGAGGGAGCCCTCGCCACTGCTAAGGAGGACGTAGCTGCCAGGGATTCCACTCTCGCGGGGCAAGCTGCTCAAATCGAGCAACTCCTAAAGGACGCCGAGTTGGCGAAGGTCAGCGCTGAAAAGCTAAGTGCTGCCCTTGTCTACGCTGAGAGGAGGATTACAGAGCAGACGCAACGGCTTTCTGCGGCAGAGGAGAGGGCCGTTGGTTCAGAGGAAAGCTGTCTGGCTCTGACCCAGGAGCTGGACAGGATCAGGGTTGAGGCGCAGAACAGGAAGTCCGAGAAGCAACTCCGAGAAGAGTTCGCCGATGACGTGCTCCTGCTCTTGAAGAAAATAGCAAGGAGTTCTTCAAGAAGGGGTGGGACGAGGCGCTCCAGTCTGCTGGGATCCCGTCAGACTCCCCGCTCTTCCAGATGCACAAATACGTGCCCTCGGCGGAGATGGAACAGGCCGAAGCCGAGATTGCTGCCGAGGGTGTGATTCCAACGCCAGTGCAAGTTTTGATGGATCTGCCCGAGGCGGTAATTGTGGATTTGTCTGATGATGCCCTGCCGGACCAGGCCCCTGACCATAATATTCCTCAGGCTCTCTCTGTTGCCGAAGTGCCTCCCACTCTGCCTGCTCCCGAAGCTGCTCAATCTTTCTACACCGATTCTCCCTCGGGCGATGTTTTGGAGATACCCGGGGCCAGATGAAAGCTTTTTTCTTTTCGATTGTACTTTTTCTTTTGTAGCTCTTGGGGACGCAAAACCCCCTTTTTTTTTGAAATAAAGCTTTTTTTTTGGAGTACTTATTCTTTCTTGCGTACACTTTTTCTTTTTTTTTTTTGCGTAGGAGTCCTTGAACTGTCTTCAGGGCCTTGCCCATTCAAGAGGCTTGCTCTTGTGTTTGTTTCGGGGGCAAGAGTCCTTGAACTCTGTCCCCAAGGCCTTGCCCTTCCAGGAGGCTTGCTCCTGTGTTTGCTTCGGAGGCAGGAGTCCTTGAACTCTGTTCCCAGGGCCTTGCCCTTCTAGGAGGCTTGCTCCTGTGTTTGTTTCGGGGGCAGGAGTCCTTGAACTCTGTCCCTAGGGCCTTGCCCTTCCAGGAGGCTTGCTCCTGTGTTTGTTTCGGGGGCAGAAGTCCTTGAACTCTGTCCCCAGGGCCTTGCCCTTTATCTTTGTCGTTGGCGAGCACTGAGGGAGATAATACTCAAAAATAATATTTCTTTAGATTCATCACATTCCACGGTCGCATTACAAGTTTTCCATCCATATCTTCTAATCTATATGACCTAGCGCCTCCGATAGATATCACTTTGTAAGGCCCTTCCCAGTTAGATCCCATTTTTACTTCTGTTGGGTCACGGGTATTGGCCGTTACCCTTCTGAGGACCAGATCGCCGATTCGGAATTCTCGCGCCTTGACCCTTTTGTTGTACAGTTGAAAAATCTTTTCCTGATACTTGGTTATTCTTAAGGCGGCTGTCTCCCTTCTTTCTTCCACTAGATCCAAATTCAGTCCAAGTTGACGGTCATTTTCCCCTGCGTCGAAAGCTTGGGTCCTTATGGTCGGGAGTCCTACCTCGAGAGGTATGATTGCTTCCATTTCGTAAGCCAGAGAGTATGGGGTTTCTCCTGTCGAGGACCCACAAAAT